TTAAAAAGACATTGTATGATATCTTCTCCTAGTATTAGAAACTTTAAAAAGTATATTTCCATTTTCTGTTCACTTAAAAAAAAAGAGGTTTGTACCTATGTTATTTGCTTATTATTTCCTGCCTATATCTTGAAATAGGAGAAACTACTTTGGCAGTAACAATACACAATGTACTAACCATTGTTACTCTCCTAAAATCTTGTTGTGAGATTTTGTACCCCTGTTTTTTTTTCTTTCTTTAAAATAAAAATAACTGATGTCAATTAAAAAAAAAGAAGAAGAAGAAGTAAAATCTCTAATGTTCCCCATGTCCTAGTGGGTGGAAGGCAACTGGGCCATGTGCACGCGGCTGTCACCCAAGGACTGAGTCCACAGGTGCACTCGCTGCTGAGTGCACCGCGAAGAGGCGCTCCCAGTGGCGGGCTGGAAGGCGCGTCCTGGCCCCGGCCCTACCTCTGCTTCCCAGCTGTCCCCCGCCAGGCCGCTTGCCCTGCGTTTCTGCCTCGGAACAGGAAATAGCCTGAGCCCCCTGGAAACGGGCACCAAATAAACCTCTGCTCCTTTAGGCTGCAGCGCATAGGGATTTTGTCCCAGTGACAGAAAAGTGACTAATACATTGACGTAATAAAAATTTGGTGAAAAGTTAGACGACAAGCATGGTCACACGTTGGCTTCTGTGTGCCGCTGGCTTCTAAAGCAGGCCTGTGGTCCAAAGCACTTGGACAGCAAAGCAAAGTTCCCCACAAGAAACAGTGGAAACGCAGATTGGTTCCACAGCTGGACATTCACATAAAAAATGATCACAATACTGCACTGTAATATAAAACAAAAAAGTACAAAATATATTTTAAAAAAATAAACTAACCTGCACTTACTTATCTTTGAAAACTTTCACAGCTGCGTGAGGGAGAAGGAGAGACAGGAAGAGTCCTGTGCGGGACGACTTTCGATCGCTGATGGAATCGCTGTGGGCTCAACACACTCTTTTCATGCAGCTCTAGCAAGGAAGCTATTCAATGACACTGCTGTTGCCACGTTGGAGGACTTTACAGAACTGTGACACTGCACTGTCATTAAACAGAGTCGTCGCTTATGCTGCTACAACCTCCCTCAGGTGCTTTCCCACATAATTTTGCAGCGTCTCCCACATTTTACACGTCCCCAATCTCATTTGAAGACAGGGATTCCTCTGCCTTTTTCTCCTCTTCCTCTGCACCTGAGGTCTCCTGCATTACCTCTTGGTATTTTTTTTTATCTTATTTATTTATTTAGTTTGCAATACCGGGGATTGAACTCAGGCCCTTGCGCTTGCCAGGCAAGCACTTACTCTACTGAGCCATCTCCCCAGCCCTACCTCTTGCTGCTGAGAGATGATCACCCACAATCTGGAGAGAGACAGACAAAGGAAGAAGGAGAGGGAGAAAGCCAGGGCTGGCTCAGCTGTGACCATGGGACCGCCGCTGCAATGTACTACTGCTGCTGCAAGACACTGATTGTTTATCAACTTTATTAGGACTGTTTGCTCATCTTGTAAAACACTCAGAACTGATTACTCACAGTCCAAGGCTTTACTGCACTAGCAATTTTGCATCTATACCTGAGGAACTGCACAGAGATAAAGAAAACAAAATACGAAAAAAGAGAAGCTAAGAGACACAAAAGGTAGAAAAGATCTTCAGGGCTGGTGAGATGGCTCAGTGGTCTAAAGCACCTACTTAGAACAAGCTTAGCAAAGCACAGGGACCC